CAAGCACCACATCAGAAACAATCTTATTGGAAATGCGTTACAAATCTTAAACAAGAAGCAAATCAGAAACAACTTCATGTCGTAAATATAGTTGTTTTGCATCAAATAGTGAGTTAATGATTAATAAATTACTGATCATATTCTGAATGATGTCATCAAGATGTGTGTTTTTAATGTAACAAAATGTTGTGGTACGACATCATCATAATATGTGTATTTATTGTGACATCATCAAATGTGTGCTAAAACAGGCATTAAGTGAATCATCACATATATTAGCTACACATGTTAATCAACTGATTTTTGTGAAAACACTGTGAAAAACACCGTGACATAATCAGAAGTGTTTAATGAAGCAAGTTTTGTATCACCAAAAATAAAGGTTAAGAAATCTTTTTCTCACATACTTCACACGGTGATCCCGTTGTTGCTAGGGAAAAGATAACTCCATCTTACACGGGGTAGGGAAAGACAGCTGACACGCGCTATGACGTCATAATAATGGTTGTCGACGTGATGTCATTTTATTGTTTCGATGATGTCATACAAATGTTGTGAATGGGGAATCATCCGTCTCAACCCCAGGGCTTTGGGGTTTTCCGGAAGAATAATATTGATGTTATTCCGACTGGAATTTGTTTATTTGTATTTATGTGAGAAAAATAATCAAACATGGGTCTGTTCCATAGACAGGGATATCTCACCCCTCGTGTAAGACTTTGGCTGGCCAGCCAGACTCTAACACTCGGGTTGAGATATCCCTGTCCACGGAACAGACCCATGTAAGATTCTATTCGTTTCAGTTTAATGTTAAATTGCAGAAAAAATTGTTACATTCCCAAAAATTGGATTTCACAGCTGACGTTAACAAGAACAAAATTTGTTTTCTCATATTTCATAGATTCCACACAGGACACCAGTAACACCAGGAGTTAACTGCCCAGAACCCAGTCACATGCCTATAGTATTTGTCAATATGACATTAAAGTGATGCTAGATACAACAGACCTCCCTAAAAGATTGCTGTTTTATTAACTCATTCAACCCTGAAGACACATTTGAACTCTTCCAATTCAAAGGTGCGAATAGTTCAAAATGAAATTTCAGGGGTGTATGAGTTAACTGAACAAATATACATAATTATCCATTCATATTGTTTATTTACATTCATATTGTTTATTTTAAGCATTGTATAATATCGTACATTTTAGTTTGAACTTAATGCTGGTTTTTAATTAATGAACAGTCTTTTTTGTCTGATTAAAACATATATTTTTTAATCACACATTCTAAACTGTAGTAAAAACTGGTGAACAGACGCTGATTGTTGTTATGTAGATATCTGGGTCGTACATATTAAACTGGTGAACAGACCCTGATTGTTGTTATGTAGATATCTGGGTCGTACATATTAAACTCAACATGACACTAAAAAGAACATTTTCTTAAAAAGTATTTCATTTAAGCAATAAAATATGGGAATCTCAACAAGGAAACAATAGTTTAACATAAACATAAGTATACGATGACCACAAGGAGATGACCCACAAGGAGGAGATGACCACAAGGAGATGACCCACCCACAAGGAGATGACCACAATGAGATGACTATCAGCACACAGAACTACACATAAAACATACAGAATATATTATGCAATAAATAAAATTTAGATTTTCAGAAAAAAAAATGAAAAGCAGGATATCAATGAAGATTTTTTGTGACCATTTTTGTTGTCACTACTAAACTTAATCTTAATTACCTCCCCTTGTCCTATAATTTCTCAACTTAATTTTGGACTTTAAAAAAAATAAAGTACCACCATGGCTTTTAGAAGTTTTGTTGATCCAAAGCATTTATTAACCCTTTCACCACTGCAGACCATAATGGACTCAGCCAGATCAATGAATGCTAGAGTTTACTTAAGTAACATAGGGGTGAAATGGTTAAGGGAGAAATTGGTTTGAAATAGTTTGGTTCATACAAAACCATGACACCACATAGCAGCTGTCTGCATCTCAGAAATGTTATACATGAAACAAAGGGAGGTAATATAAGACATCGGCCACTTTTGTTTATCGCAATCCAAACGGTTGTACCGGTTGAACCAGAGTTGTTCGTTTATGAAATAAGGTCGGACCTAGAAACCTGATGGTGCTTTCAGGCGAGTCTTGACAATGCCTTGTAAGGCCTGAATGAACAATTGCACTTTCGCCAGGATTTATACCCCAAATTGTTACATTTAAAAACAGACAAACTGGTTGTTCCGCATAAACAAACAGGCCCCTTACTATTTAGCAAACACTAGATGAATAGCTACAAAGGCCATTTTTCAATGTGGTGTCACAACTGGTTTATCTAGTTTTAAATGTCGATCTTCGTATACCTAATATTTATGAGATTCAGTATAAACCTCAATATAATGGCCATTTCATTTACCAACTTGCTTATCATCAACATATTTTAAACCTTCTTTTTTCCTTTTACTTAATTGACATTGCCTTTATGCATCACCAGAATCTTTAATAATGCCATTTTTTTTTTAAACTTCTAGCGGAAATGTAACAACATTTTTACAACCTGGCATCCATTAATTTTAGGGTAATCCTTTAAAGTGATGTCTGGTCAGGTCTTCTGTCTCTTATCAACAAAGGCAAGCTACAAATCTTTCAAAACTAAATGTCATATCATCTTCTTACGGAAAGAAGGTTGTTAAAATGCATCAGTTCCGTGGGTTACCCATGTAATCGTGTAATGTCTTGAATCACTTGACCTCTGACCTACTGCTTTAGCCAAGATCACACCATGTAATCGTGTAATGTCTTGAATCACTTGACCTCTGACCTACTGCTTTAGCCAAGATCAACGATGGCAGACAGGTAACCGACAAAATGTCTACAAGTCAACAACTCTTGTCCAATCTATTAAAACTATTAAAACACGATAAACGAAAATGGCCCTATAGTTATAACACATTAAAACAATGATTTATAAAGGAAAATTTCCACTCTTTTTCAACAAAAGATTGCCACATTTAACATTTAACAAGGTGAGCACGTTATAATTACAACACACTCTTTGGTATAATTCACAAAATACTGATAGAGCAATGGGAAAAAACCTGGAAATCCCCTCTATGACGAATGTAGCATAAAAAGCAGGCTGATCTTTCAGTCCGGAAGTATTGCGTGGGAAATCTGTACTGTTACAGTTTTAGCATAAATTTAAAGAACTTTGAAAACAATAACATACCAATTAATAATTTTCAATAAATTTGTAATAAAATTTGACATTAGAAAAATTAGCAGAACATCTCAAGTGATTACAAATAAAATAACTTAAAACATTTTATCATCATTCCAATGTTTAGGCCTTTTATTAATACATATCCAATTGTCTCCGTGGTGCATGCATTATTGTAAATAAAACGCTACTTTACCCATAATACCTGTAAATTTTATCTCCCTTAAGGATGTATGCTACCTTACACTTATACCTGTGATTTGTGTTAAGAGTTATCTCCCTTAAGGGTTTATGTTACCTTACACATTATACCTGTGATTCTATGAATGCAGTTAGGCCAAATATTGAGCTTAACATTTTCCCTGGTATGTGGCTTATTGTTGCTAGGTTTGAAAAGATTGTAAACTTTTCTTCACACACGATCTGAATACGTCAGTCTCAGACAGAGATTTCAAGTACTAAGTATTAAGTGTGATCATATTCCCATGTATCAATTTAAAAAAAAAAAAATTGCAAGTTCCAATCGTCAGTCAACCCAAACCCATCCCTTTATATCACAAGACATGAATGTATTCTTGAAATGAATTGAAAAAAAATAGAAAAGTGAAATACAAAGACAACGTACATACGATCTTCTGCCTTGTTGTCCCACATTCTACATGTCATGAAATTGATTATTCATGATGTCATGAACTTATTGTGACCCTGAAAGGCAGGGTGTTCCTGACCTCAACATCAATTTTGAAAACGCTCAAAAACATCTTAAAATCGTCCTTTATTTTTAGTTGTTTTAGCTTATATGAATAAGAATGGGGCTAATACAACATGTACTGTATCTTTAATTGTTTTAGCTTATATAAGAATGGGGCTAATACAACATGTACTGTATTTTTAGTTGTTTTAGCTTATATGAATAAGTATGGGGCTAAACAACATGTACTGTATTTTTAGTTGTTTTAGCTTATATGAATAAGAATGGGGCTAATACAACATGTACTGTATTTTGAGATTTGTGGTGGTATAGAGTGATTATACTGTTGCAATTTGAGTTTTACTGGCGATGCTCCGCTCTGCGCCATGTCACCAATGTAACTCAATTTGCAAAATCAGAATCACTATATACTGCAACATAATCTCAAAATTCAGGAGATTTATCCCCTAAATGATTATCAGGTAGTAAAATGTCAAAGTGATCGAGACCTCATTTATAGCTCTGTAGACGCTGGCTGTTCCTTTTATTTGAATTCTACGTCAGATTTCACCGACAAAAACAGTTTTTAATCAAGTACAGTAAAATCCCACTTGCTCAAACTTGTAGGGTCCAGTTTGAGGAAGTGGGGTTTTATTGTACCAGGTAATGGACAATTTTCAAAATGAATGAAAAAACAAAACAAAAACATTTTATATCAACTTATTCCTATTCAATTTTTAGTTGTTTGAACAGAATTGTAGACAGAGAATTCTAACACATTAGGACAGAACCTTTTATGTCTGTTCAGAATGATAGGACTATCTCTGACCGCCGATTAATACTTAAACAGATACCCTCCAAGTCTATTTTCCAATCCCCCTGTCTGATATTTCTGTATTTCAAAAAAAAAAAAAAAAAAAAAAAAAAAAAAAAAATTTTTTTTTTTTAAAAAAAAAAAAAAAAAAAAAAAAGAAAAACACATGATTGCTCTGATGTATAAGAATATGATATTTTTTCAAGGTTTAGTCCATTTAATTATAAAATATGCACACATAACATTGTGATATATATTACATTGCTAAAGAAACCGTTAACAGTATAATGTAAAACAGTAATGAAATAACAAATCAATTCATGTACAAACAAAACATTCATAATCATTATGTTCTACATTTCGTAATGAACAACAGGGATATTTCTTTGGATAAAAATATACTTTGGGCATGTTGCGTAACCCCATATTGATAAACGACTCATATAGAAATTATTTACAAAAGTAATTGACATAGAAAGCCTACCGTATTTCCGCACTAATAATCCCACGCTCTGTATTACAACACCATGTGACTTTCGTTGTCACAAGGGCGTAAAACTCCCATCTATCTCTATTGCATATTTATTACTGTATAGCGGAAATTTTCACTGCTGTTAAATTTCCACTGCTGTTAAATTTTCACTGCTGTTAAGTTAAATTTTCACTGCTGTTAAATGTTCACCGCTGTTAAATTTTCACCTTTTTTTCCTGCAATGAGGCGAGTTTATCAGAGTAACGAATATAAGTACACAACAACTAAGTTTGTTTTTAACGCAAACAGCAATTGAAAACTTATCTTGTGAGGTTTCGAAATGTCGAAATATTTTTTGACAGCTGACTTTACTGATTCGGCACACTGTGGCTCAGTGAGTTGTTTTCAGACGTTTAGTGTCGAGACACTGGTCAATTGCACTCTTTGCTTGACAAAGGAAGCAGACGTTTTTGAAAGCATGCAAAATAGTTTTCATTTACCGTTTGTGTTCAAAACAAACTTAGCCTTTATTATTCATACCAAACTGATGAATCTTATTCCGGACACAACATACCGTTTATATAGTAATTACGCGTAAAGAGCGAAATTAATACTCGGCAATTACCGATAGTACTGTGAAGAGCTAATATTTGACTCAGCAAAATTATCCAGGTATACCGTATTATTACAAAGATATTATTTTCTTAAATAATATCAATAAAATTCCTAAATACTATGGAAAAATATGTAGTAGTTTGTATACCACTACTGTACAATATCTCTAGACAGTATACTGGAAATGTTCTTTTATTTTAAAATTTTCAACCTCCATAACGTGGACAACCATAAACATGTGTAAACGTCCTACTGTACACAGTAACTCTACCGTGAAGGGCAACTTCACGTAGTTCTTGAATGGAATTTAGCCATACTGGGTGAATATAGACTACTACTATGAAATCATATATTTCCGTGGGGCCCAACTGTCATGTACCCAAAAAATCACCATTTCATGAGTACATGTACATGAATTCAAGGGCGGCAAGTACCCACTCATACGGAGAATAGATTATTAATTAATGACAACCTAGAAATTACTTTGTGGACGTATGAATTTGTTAGATGTAGTGTAACCACGAAATCAACGCAATTAAAAAACCCACCAAAATTAGTGATTTCACAGTATGTGGATGAACATTTTCGAATTAACAGTAGTCCCAGAGCCTAGTCAATAGACTGCATGTGGAATGGGCCCAGAATTTATACCCAAATTTGTTGCTATACTATCCAAAATGGCTCCTTTCCAGATATGACCCAGGGCAAGAAATATCCCACGTCAAGCGGATTTAGTCCGTGGGCAAGAAAAAAAGTGCCTACTTGCAAAATTTCGTGAATGCTAGATCAAAGGTTAATATTTACAACAGGACGATTACTACGGACAAAAATAGAAACGAAGCTCAAAGGCTAGTCTTCCATAAAAACGTATCATTATCTTTACAATGGGTGATCTAGTATATTTCATCTGCAAGCAAAGGGCCACTCCTTTTTTGAAAATGTTGTTCTTGCCCTGCACTTCTAAAATCTGTGCTACAAGGGGTTTGGTGCAATATTGAGCATGGGGTTATAACACATGAAACACAGTAGCTAGAGTCCTGAAGTGGACCTAAGGTTCAGCAAAGGTCGCCTTCAAGATATCATTGTTAATCTGGTTCAGAATCAAATGTCATGGACAGGCTCCAGCAAGGTATGGGATGAAAGCAATGAATCGAAATATAAAACCTGTTGATCATCTTCTTCAAGCCATAATATGTCAGTAAATTTAAAAATTTACAAAAACTAAACCTATCATTCATTTATTTATTTTTTTTCATTCTTCAATAAAAAATAGTTGATTTTGGCTTGTTAGTTACAGATAAATAAAAAGATCACAAAAAAAATAATAACAAAAACAATAACTTCCTGTGCTTTTAACAAAAGAAATCAACAAAAACAATTATATACAAAATGCAGTCAGAAGCATACAATATACACGCTCCATTTTCTGGAACAATAAATAGTCATAGAAAACATTTAACAGTTAATATAACATTGTAAGTTAATTTGGCGGATCCATATGACAAAATAGAAAACCTTAAACTTTATCATTGTAACTTTGAATTTTCTTTTCATAAAAACATAATTAGATTTCGCCATCTTTTCTTGATATTTGTAACAACAGGGTTTGAAAGAATATCTCAATTATTTCACACGTGTGTGACAAGACTTGTCAAAGTTTGGTTCAAACTGATTTCATATTCAGTCCTGAAATTAACTTTTCTTACTCATATATTTATTGAATATGACTTTGTTAAAATTTCTGAGATAATAGAATTAGAAATTCTTGTCTGAATTGCCCATTCGTTTTTTCTTGGATGTGTTCTTCACTTCCTCTTCCCGCTTACAGAATGCTGCTAGATTCCTCTTCAGGGTCTGTTGTGCGTAGAACGATGTGTGGGATTGACGATAAGAAGCCGCGGACTCGGAGAAACTGGATCCAAACTCTTCCATGCATGCAGCAGCTGCAGCATACGGCATCAGACTCGAATGTGGGTACTGCTTCTGTGCTATGGTTCCAGATTGATCCGCTTGGTTGAACTGTCGCATATATTCCTCCGGCGTAGTGCTAGGATCCTGAACAAGCATATATATACATCCTAATTAAGACAGGTATTACTTTATATTTTGAGACTGGGTTTTTTTCATTACGTTTATTTTAATGTATTCTAATCTATTTAGTTTCATGTGATTAATCATGTAAACAATTATGTACACAAATTGAATGTTACTCCACACCAATATGTATGGAAAGTCGTTCCACGAACTTATTGTGTGTTAAATTGGAGAAATCTACAATATTAAAATAAGCCAGTCTGCTACTCGAAAGTCTTGTTCTAGATACCTCTAAACACTCATTGTAGCACCTCTACGATGCTTTTGTTACTTCCTTACTTGCAATTGGCAAATGAACAATATAATAAAATAATTATGCTTGGGTGAAGAGAATGAAGAAATTTATGAAATACACAATTTTAAAATTCTAGCCATCAAACTTTTTACACTGTTCCTATGTGTTGTCGTTATTCCTCTATGCATCACTTTAATTCACTGGTGAAAATGTCACGAAAACATCTGTCAAATCTTACCTCAATATTAGCTATCGCTGAAAAAATATCTTCAAACTGTGAGGAGAGTGGACTATTAGAAGGGTCCGAGAGCTGTACTATTTCTCGAAATCTCTTTGATTCTTTTCTAAGCTCCTCTGAATGCGCTGGTAGACCGTGCCATTTTATGACCTCTGCAAATTCTCTTATGGCGACGGTCATTTTATGTGTGGCTTTTCTCTTTTGTCGAATGACTTGAAGTTTAGAAATGTCGCCGGTCTGATGTTGCTGTACCTAAAAAAAAAAGTAAATATTCAGAGTTGTACAATTCCACAAGTCAATACCCGGGGCTAGTAGAGTTTATGCCAGGAATTGTAAACAAGAGGCCCCATGGGCCTGAATCGCTCACCTGGTATTAATCTCACACTTGTAATTTTAAAAGTGGACTAAAATACAGCTTCAGGCAAAATATCAGTGTTTGAAACAGATGACGCCTGTGACCTTGAAAGTCGAACAAGGACATTATAAGTTGAACAGAGTTTATAGCCTTCCATACAAGCATGCTTCTGGCCAAATATCATTATCCTAGGCCTGTTAGTTATTGAGAAGAAGATGTTTAAAGGTTTTGAACATATTTGACCCCTGCAGTGACCTTGTCACCCGGAATTTGTTTGCCCTTACAGAGACATAACAAGGTATGCATTCTTTTTTACTCGAGAACCACACTTATTTACCTGAAACTGATATTCGCGGTAAGCATCTATTTCTTTTTCTATGTCACTGGAAATTTGTTTGCCCTTACAGAGACATAACAAGGTATGCATTCTTTTTTACCCGAGAACCACACTTATTTACCTGCAACTGATATTCGCGGTAAGCACCTATTTCTTTTTCTATGTCACTGGGAATTTGTTTGCCCTTACAGAGACGTAACAAGGTATGCATTCTTTTTTCCAGCGTTTCAAATGTATCTTTTGGTTTGTTGTTCGGATCCTTCCACGGTAAAACTGACGGCCACGATTGAGGCTCAAATTTTTTAGTCCATATTGACGAAGAGCTGAAAGGATCTTGATTAACCAATATGCGGGAGAGTTTTGGCACAATGTCGCGGAATGTGTTGGTGAGAATGGTTCGCGTCTGTTCCTCGCCGCTCTCCGAATCCGTGTTCAGTTTGCAGCATGTGCACTTCTGTTTAGTGGAATTGCGTTTCTGTCGTCGGCCGCCTCCACTACACTTGGCGGGCATGCTCCACGACTGCTGGGGAGGTGGGTGTTTGGTATTCTGCGGCTGAGGCTCATGGTCAAATGCCTGAAATGGGTAATAAAAGTAGGTGAAAAGAAGTTTAATTACTGCGAGAAAAAAAAACCCAATTATTTGTTTGGACTAAATGCAAATGTACATGTACAATGTATGTGAGATAAACAGGATACAAGAGGAGATAGATTAAATGTCACACAGGGATTCCAACCAAGCACCTCCAAACTCTGCACTACCTAGTCACTCTGGATCAGACCAGTTCAGTTCTGCTTATTAGTTCCTCTACAAAATCCTTCAAAAAAGTCTTGGGCACCAAGACACATAAAAAGCTACACCACTTTGTGTGGATTAATATTTAGTTCCGGCCATCCTCAAACAGTTCTTTGAATTTCCCTTCTCTCATTTTTTTTCAGTGGGTACTTAACTGTTAAGATTATAGGTGTTTTTTTGTTAGCTCACCTGGCCCGAAGGGTTCTCAGTTTTGTATAAACGGAGGGTATGGTCCCCCTGGGGGCAGAGGGGTGGGGCCAAATAGGGGGAAAATAGGTAAATCTTTAAAAAAAATCTTCTTCTCAAACAATAGAAGGATTTTGACCAAATTTTTTCTAGAACATCTTTAGATAAAGAAGCCTCAAGTTTGTATAAACGGAGGATGTGGCCCCTCTGGGGGGCGGAGCCCAATAGGGGAAAGAGAAGAAAAAAAAATCTCCTACTATATAAGTGAAGGGATTTAAACCAAATGCAGTCTTAAGCATGCTTAGGGACAAAAGAAACAATTTTGTATAAACTGAGGTGTGTGGACCCTCTTCTTTGGGGAAGATTGAAGGGGGCCATTACGGGAAATGGAGGAAAACATTAAAGATCCTTCTCCTTCTGTACTGTTGAAGGGATTTTAACCAACCTTGTTCTAGANATATTTTCCTTTCTGTACAAATGAAGGGATTTTTAAACCAAATGTGGTCTGAAGCATGCTTAGGGGGAAAAATCAATTTGTTTAATTTGTATAAAAAGGTGCATGTGAGGACCAATAGGGGAAATAGAGGAAAATTGGGACATAACATGGAATCTCATTTTCTTGGTGTCTTTCCCACCAAAACAGATTTATATGTAGTTCTTCTTGCAACTTTGTTTCTTGTACTCCTTTGATAAACCTGTATGGTGCTCAGCAGGTTTTAAATTGAAAAATAAAATACCAGGTGATCAAGCTATTAAGGCCCCTGGGCCTCTTGGTTTTTTTCTTCTTCTAGAAATGTCATATTCTACATAAAAACACAACTGCCAGTGATTTTTTTTATTTTTCCCCCCTGAAAGTTCAAAACAAAAACAAAAAACTTGGTAGCTGTCATTTCGAGTGAGTTGGTCGTGAAGCATGCAGTTTAAGGATGACCTCACCGACAAATTCACCAGAAATAACACACACAATGACCAGACCGGAATTCAAACCTGATGAGGCCATTCAACTCCAGATTAAGTATGAAACCAACCCGAGGTGGTCAACTGCAACTGACCTAGTCCAGTTGCCTAAGGCCAAACAAAAAGTATTTGGTGTTTCCGGTAACCCTACCTACCCTAAATTCTTGTGCCTACCCTAAACTTTTGGAGGCAATTTTCAAAAAAAATTATACACTGTTAAAATTCAAGTTCATTCTCCTATATAAACCATATAACCTACCCTAAATTTTTCCAAAATGTTACAGGAAACACATATATTTTTTGTCTGGCCTAATAACTTTTACTGGATAATCTCTTCTTAGAAACACACAATAATAAACTCATCCAAAACTGTTTCAGATCACACATGTGATCTGTGTTAGTTTCCATTAAGGCATGCATATATATGATTTATTTAGGCCATTTATTGCTATGTAAAATGTATATGTGCATTCCTGGCAGTTATCTCCCTTTTGAAAGTAACTACTGTATATCTGCTTCTCAATACATCGTAGATACCTGTTAAAATAAGATTTATTTTCCTTAAAGATATGCCACATGCACATCACACACAAGATTCCCAGTCATCAAAATCAAGGAATTTCCCCTGAATTTTATTACCAAAATAAAAGGAATTTTTCCCGACTTTCATCACCAAAATCAAGAGTTATCTCCCTTAAGAGTATTGATACTTCTCAAATTATGCATTCAATTATATAAGTTATCTCCCTTTAGCTGATGTCAGATACACAAATACTGGGGCCTGTTCGTTTATGCGAAACAACCGGTACATCCGTTTTTGAATGTAACATTTTTGGGTATAAATCCTGGTGGATATGTTTATGCAGGCCTTGCAAGGCTTGGTGAAGGCTTGTCCATCAGATTACTGGGTTCGACTTTATTTCATAAACAAACAACTCTGGTCCAACCGGTCAAACCATTTGGATCGCAATAAATGAAATTGGCCCTGGTACATGTGATATATTGAAGCATACATGTACATGATTCATAATAGATTCCAAGTGATCTCAAAGTAGTTGGAATATTGAAGTTTATATATATACATTGGAAATCTGAATCCTTATATATATATATGCTATATATGGCAAAAAAATAAATAAGGTTTTGTCTATCCTTGACCTACTTAGCTACTGAAATAATGTCTTTTTGTAACCACTTTTATTTTCAGATTATTTCTATATTCTTTGCTTCCAAACCTTGATTGACAATTTCTGCAGACAGTACATGGCTCCTTTGACCGTTCAAAATAATTTTGTCTATCATGTTTTTTCCGCAACATTATCATGAGTTTACTGTCTCCCTCACCAGTCAAAGACTAAAATGGTGCAACAAAAAATGTTTGAGCAATCAAAACCAAGATCAAACAAGCTGACCTTTGACCTTAGCATGACCAGACGATGAGATGTTAAGCATATATTTTTGTACTAGCATCATTGAGGGCAAACAACTAATGGTTTAATTATAATGGTGCTAAACAAGATGCGAATGACTTTGGTATTAATATCAGTAGAGATCAAGCAGTGATATTTTTTCCTGCTAGTTTTATAGCCAAATACAGGCCGCTTCCCCAGGCTAAAAAGTGCTTTATTTTCCAATTGAAGATAAAATCAAGAATATCTGCCAAATTTAAATAAAAATAATTGCTTTATTTTCCCAATTCATGTAGGAACATCACTGTTGTAAAATTTAGGTTAAAAAAAATACTGGCAAGCAACCAACATCTGAATTAGCATGGCTTTAAATTCGACACAAACATTTTGAGCTAATTATATAATTACATGTGTACTTACATGCAGTCTATTGAGGAATACAAAACAAAGGCTTGCCACTCTAAACGTCGGTTTGTTTGCTGGATCATGGACATGCTGTGTGCTAGCAGTTCGGAAATGAGACTCAAATGCCTGCCAAACAAAATAATAAACTAACAAATCCGTTTTTCCCTTATAAAGCTTTTTTTTCAAAATCATGGACCGTTTTCCCAAAATACTCAGTATTCCCAAAATACTCATTTAAAAAGGTTAGTAAACAAAACAAATGACTAATAATAATGACAATGATCGTTGTTGACCAAAGGACTATGTATGGTTAACTGTTTGGGCCTTTTTTGGCCCCCAAATCCATCAAAATTAAAAATCTGCAATACAACTTTCAAACGACTGTTTCTTAATTTTGGCTGCCATGGTAACCAGGTCATATTTGCACAAGTTATTGAAATTTGATTATTCAGTCAATTTTGACCGGGTTTTCGCCTAGTTTTTCTCTTAGCTACCATAGAGCGCACTCTTGAACAAACTTTATATTTCTCCTAAAGATGTATTACAGGTGCCTACACATTATCCTTTGATATAAAGTTTGTTCAAGCATGCGGTCTATAGTTTCTAGGAGAAAAACTATGCAAAATATCATAATATTCACTGAATATTCAAATTTTTCTAATTTATGCCAATTTGAACTTGTTACCATGGCAATAATTAGAAATATAAATAAATATTTTCAAAATAGTATTTGGGAAGTATTCAAAATTCAAGAAACAGTCATTTCAAAGTTCATTTAAAGGTTTTGAATTTTGATGNGTACGCCCCTCCCATATTTTTGAGAACTTATTTAATGATATAACCACCCTCCAAAGCACCCACCACTCTGGCTTTCTTCGTTTAACAAACTATACACACTATATCACAACCTCACAAGACTATTTTCAAGTTATTTCGGAGAAAAAAAAAAGATTTTCAAGTTCTTTCGGGAAAAAAAGCAATTTTTGACTACTCCCTGAGAATGTATCCGACAGTTTTGTCTCCCTTTGATTTTGCAGCAGCCGTTGCAACCTTTGTTTTGTTACCTTAACCAATGCCTATAGCTATGCAGACAATTTTTCATGCACCTTTGGCTTTAATAATTACAGCAAATCAGGTCAACAGTGTGTAAATGGTAATGCCAAGTTATTTGTGGATTATCTACAGAGTACAGGATAATATCTTGTTATCTAAATCATGCAAATTATATTTTACATGTTCATTTCTTTGGCCAAACCGAAAATCATGTGTATTTCAGGTAGTATCCCAGAAAAAAATACGGTCAGTTGGTTAATGATTGGTTATATTTCAATGTTTGTTTTTTTCATGTTCAGGCCAAATTTTTGTGGTTTTTTTTGTTTCAGAATGCCTGAAAAAAAAATAGGGTAGGTTGATAGGCAAATATCTTTAATCTTAACATGAATTTTTCATTTTCGTGAATTAATAATTATGCTCTATTCCAAATTTTACAATGCATTCAACACATTACAATGGCTATTAATTTGTCAAGAATAAGGTCAGACTGTCGGTACAGTTAGAAAGTATATTTTAATGAGTGGCTATGAACTTTCCCAGGCTTATTAAATAATCTTAGATACATGCATGCAAGTACGTATATATACATACAAAATGTAGCTGATCAAATGTTCTAGTGTCGGCAGGAAAATCTGGGGTAGATCATAAATACCTGAAACACACACATTTTTTGTTTTGCCTGAACAAACACAAATATGTGGGGTCATCTCAAACAATGCAGGGTTACTTTGTAAACTATGTGTTTCAATATTCTTACATGAAGTCTTCTGAGAAACAGGAAACAAAGGGAAGCAACCCTGAAGTTACTTTTCTTCACTGGTCCACTTCTCTCGTGAAAGGTCTTCACATTTTGTCTGGAATTCTGAGAGGAACCAGACTAAACATTAAACTTGAAATACACACAGTAAAATATATACACACAGTAAAATATGTATACACACAGTAAAATATATACACACAGTAAAATATGTATACACACAGTAAAATATGTATACACACAGTAAAATATATACACAATAAAATAATTCATTTTCTTGTAATTTAAACATAAAATATCTGAACTATTAATTTGAAGAGCAGTAAAGGTGGGGAGTACTAGTCCCATCACTTCTCTACAGTATACAGGCTTTGGGAATAGAATCCCTGTTTACTTTCATTTGTACAACACTGGGGAATCATAAACGACATAATTTGCTGGACAATAAATAACTTAAACGCACAATGAATCATCAATGTTTCCAAACTGGTAATGGATGGTGTGGAAAAGAGTTAGTGTAATAGTGAGTAAAACTTAAAGATCCCTAGACATATGGCTAGTTACATCGTATAGTATACCCAATTGCAATTTTGAGCCCCGATTCAATATCAATGTACATTACAACGAAAAGAATATCAGTAACAGAAACTGTAGGTACCAGTATCGAAGCAGACGTATTCAGATAGACATGACAACATAAACCCTAGCTAGGCCTTCCGCATCCTCTGAAGTACATAAAGATGAACTCAAGATCACAAATTTGCAACCACGCAGCTGTCTGAGAAAAATATAATTTGAAAGTGTTGGTCGTCAGATTTTATGGGAAACACCTAAAGATCATCAATTGCAAATTCAGCACTAAGTTTCAAGTCAAAACTAGAGCAGACATCATACATACCTGTAATCTTTGTAGAAATATACAACATAAACTGATTTTACGTCAGAACTAGAGCGGACATCATACATACCTGTAATCTTTGTAGAAATATACAACATAAACTGATTTTACGTCAGAACTAGAGCGGACATCATACATACCTGTAATCTTTGTAGAAATATACAACATAAACTGATTTTACGTCAGAACTAGAGCGGACATCATACATACCTGTAATCTTTGTAGAAATATACAACATAAACTGATTTTACGTCAGAACTAGAGCGGACATCATACATACCTGTAATCTTTGTAGAAATATACAACATAAACTGATTTTACGTCAGAACTAGAGCGGACATCATACATACCTGTAATCTTTGTAGAAATATACAACATAAACTGATTTTACGTCAGAACTAGAGCGGACATCATACATACCTGTAATCTTTGTAGAAATATACAACATAAACTGATTTTACGTCAGAACTAGAGCGGACATCATACATACCTGTAATCTTTGTAGAAATATACAACATAAACTGATTTTACGTCAGAACTAGAGCGGACATCATACATACCTGTAATCTTTGTAGAAATATACAACATAAACTGATTTTACGTCAGAACTAGAGCGGACATCATACATACCTGTAATCTTTGTAGAAATATACAACATAAACTGATTTTACGTCAGAACTAGAGCGGACATCATACATACCTGTAATCTTTGTAGAAATATACAACATAAACTGATTTTACGTCAGAACTAGAGCGGACATCATACATACCTGTAATCTTTGTAGAAATATACAACATAAACTGATTTTACGTCAGAACTAGAGCGGACATCATACATACCTGTAATCTTTGTAGAAATATACAACATAAACTGATTTTACGTCAGAACTAGAGCGGACATCATACATACCTGTAATCTTTGTAGAAATATACAACATAAACTGATTTTACGTCAGAACTAGAGCGGACATCATACATACCTGTAATCTTTGTAGAAATATACAACATAAACTGATTTTACGTCAGAACTAGAGCGGACATCATACATACCTGTAATCTTTGTAGAAATATACAACATAAACTGATTTTACGTCAGAACTAGAGCGGACATCATACATACCTGTAATCTTTGTAGAAATATACAACATAAACTGATTTTACGTCAGAACTAGAGCGGACATCATACATACCTGTAATCTTTGTAGAAATATACAACATAAACTGATTTTACGTCAGAACTAGAGCGGACATCATACATACCTGTAATCTTTGTAGAAATATACAACATAAACTGATTTTACGTCAGAACTAGAGCGGACATCATACATACCTGTAATCTTTGTAGAAATATACAACATAAACTGATTTTACGTCAGAACTAGAGCGGACATCATACATACCTGTAATCTTTGTAGAAATATACAACATAAACTGATTTTACGTCAGAACTAGAGCGGACATCATACATACCTGTAATCTTTGTAGAAATATACAACATAAACTGATTTTACGTCAGAACTAGAGCGGACATCATACATACCTGTAATCTTTGTAGAAATATACAACATAAACTGATTTTACGTCAGAACTAGAGCGGACATCATACATACCTGTAATCTTTGTAGAAATATACAACATAAACTGATTTTACGTCAGAACTAGAGCGGACATCATACATACCTGTAATCTTTGTAGAAATATACAACATAAACTGATTTTACGTCAGAACTAGAGCGGACATCATACATACCTGTAATCTTTGTAGAAATATACAACATAAACTGATTTTACGTCAGAACTAGAGCGGACATCATACATACCTGTAATCTTTGTAGAAATATACAACATAAACTGATTTTACGTCAGAACTAGAGCGGACATCATACATACCTGTAATCTTTGTAGAAATATACAACATAAACTGATTTTACGTCAGAACTAGAGCGGACATCATACATACCTGTAATCTTTGTAGAAATATACAACATAAACTGATTTTACGTCAGAACTAGAGCGGACATCATACATACCTGTAATCTTTGTAGAAATATACAACATAAACTGATTTTACGTCAGAACTAGAGCGGACATCATACATACCTGTAATCTTTGTAGAAATATACAACATAAACTGATTTTACGTCAGAACTAGAGCGGACATCATACATACCTGTAATCTTTGTAGAAATATACAACATAAACTGATTTTACGTCAGAACTAGAGCGGACATCATACATACCTGTAATCTTTGTAGAAATATACAACATAAACTGATTTTACGTCAGAACTAGAGCGGACATCATACATACCTGTAATCTTTGTAGAAATATACAACATAAACTGATTTTACGTCAGAACTAGAGCGGACATCATACATACCTGTAATCTTTGTAGAAATATACAACATAAACTGATTTTACGTCAGAACTAGAGCGGACATCATACATACCTGTAATCTTTGTAGAAATATACAACATAAACTGATTTTACGTCAGAACTAGAGCGGACATCATACATACCTGTAATCTTTGTAGAAATATACAACATAAACTGATTTTACGTCAGAACTAGAGCGGACATCATACATACCTGTAATCTTTGTAGAAATATACAACATAAACTGATTTTACGTCAGAACTAGAGCGGACATCATACATACCTGTAATCTTTGTAGAAATATACAACATAAACTGATTTTACGTCAGAACTAGAGCGGACATCATACATACCTGTAATCTTTGTAGAAATATACAACATAAACTGATTTTACGTCAGAACTAGAGCGGACATCATACATACCTGTAATCTTTGTAGAAATATACAACATAAACTGATTTTACGTCAGAACTAGAGCGGACATCATACATACCTGTAATCTTTGTAGAAATATACAACATAAACTGATTTTACGTCAGAACTAGAGCGGACATCATACATACCTGTAATCTTTGTAGAAATATACAACATAAACTGATTTTACGTCAGAACTAGAGCGGACATCATACATACCTGTAATCTTTGTAGAAATATACAACATAAACTGATTTTACGTCAGAACTAGAGCGGACATCATACATACCTGTAATCTTTGTAGAAATATACAACATAAACTGATTTTACGTCAGAACTAGAGCGGACATCATACATACCTGTAATCTTTGTAGAAATATACAACATAAACTGATTTTACGTCAGAACTAGAGCGGACATCATACATACCTGTAATCTTTGTAGAAATATACAACATAAACTGATTTTACGTCAGAACTAGAGCGGACATCATACATACCTGTAATCTTTGTAGAAATATACAACATAAACTGATTTTACGTCAGAACTAGAGCGGACATCATACATACCTGTAATCTTTGTAGAAATATACAACATAAACTGATTTTACGTCAGAACTAGAGCGGACATCATACATACCTGTAATCTTTGTAGAAATATACAACATAAACTGATTTTACGTCAGAACTAGAGCGGACATCATACATACCTGTAATCTTTGTAGAAATATACAACATAAACTGATTTTACGTCAGAACTAGAGCGGACATCATACATACCTGTAATCTTTGTAGAAATATACAACATAAACTGATTTTACGTCAGAACTAGAGCGGACATCATACATACCTGTAATCTTTGTAGAAATATACAACATAAACTGATTTTACGTCAGAACTAGAGCGGACATCATACATACCTGTAATCTTTGTAGAAATATACAACATAAACTGATTTTACGTCAGAACTAGAGCGGACATCATACATACCTGTAATCTTTGTAGAAATATACAACATAAACTGATTTTACGTCAGAACTAGAGCGGACATCATACATACCTGTAATCTTTGTAGAAATATACAACATAAACTGATTTTACGTCAGAACTAGAGCGGACATCATACATACCTGTAATCTTTGTAGAAATATACAACATAAACTGATTTTACGTCAGAACTAGAGCGGACATCATACATACCTGTAATCTTTGTAGAAATATACAACATAAACTGATTTTACGTCAGAACTAGAGCGGACATCATACATACCTGTAATCTTTGTAGAAATATACAACATAAACTGATTTTACGTCAGAACTAGAGCGGACATCATACATACCTGTAATCTTTGTAGAAATATACAACATAAACTGATTTTACGTCAGAACTAGAGCGGACATCATACATACCTGTAATCTTTGTAGAAATATACAACATAAACTGATTTTACGTCAGAACTAGAGCGGACATCATACATACCTGTAATCTTTGTAGAAATATACAACATAAACTGATTTTACGTCAGAACTAGAGCGGACATCATACATACCTGTAATCTTTGTAGAAATATACAACATAAACTGATTTTACGTCAGAACTAGAGCGGACATCATACATACCTGTAATCTTTGTAGAAATATACAACATAAACTGATTTTACGTCAGAACTAGAGCGGACATCATACATACCTGCAATCTTTGTAGAAATATACAACATAAACTGATTTTACGTCAGAACTTGAGCGGACATCATACATACCTGTAATCTTTGTAGAAATATACAACATAAACTGATTTTACGGAAAACGTGTCTCATGCGATGATGATCTTCACTTGCTAAACCCATGCTACGGCTGACTTATATCTGAAATAAAGTAAAGACATTCTAATTATAACAAACGGTATATGAAAAATGTGCCTCATTATAAATAAGTTGAAACATTCACTATAAATTTAAACATTCTCATATTTTTATTTTCTTTATGCATTGAAGTAAAATATTGTTGATAAATATATTATTATTGAATACTTCAATAACTAATTATGTGATTAAACAAAACTCCTCAAACTAATTTATATCCATGACTGTTCAAACTTACTGATTGCGTTTGGCAGCCATTTAAATTAGTTGACAGATAGTAAAATCAAACCTATGAATAATGTCTGTTATAAATATAGATATTCATAATTTACTTGAATTCACAGCAGTTTTTATGGGAAATAAATTTGAAGGCATTGACTACTAGTAATCATTTGATATACATGTACAGCGAAACTGGACTGGGTTGATCGTTGGCGACCAGGTAGCTCAATTGGTATAGAGCGTTCGTTTAGAGTTTGGAGGGTCCCGCGTTCGAACCCCTGTCTAACTGTGCATTTTTCCTCTACTAGCTGTTACAGATATTTTACAAAGTAGTTCTACAAGGACTATAAGTGTATTATCAAATGTATACATGCATGGTACATATATTATTTAACAGATCTAGATCTAGTACACATATTGCCAATTGAGATACGTGGTTGCAAGACCTCCGGCTGTGGTATCAACCGATCTGAAACTGGTCTTTTGAGCTATTTAGAAGATTTTATCACTTTTTGATTACAAATAACTTATCTGTCAACATTTATACCATTAAACTTCAAGTTAATTAATGCGACTTGGATTTATTTTTATGAAATATTTATATCTCAATACAGCTATTATAGGTTAAAGATGTACGTAACAGAGCACTACAGCACAAGATCAAAATTCTGCATCGTCATGATCAATATTGACAGAGGAAGGTTTAAAGATGAAAATGAAGGTGGATTAGCTATATAGGTATTTACAACTAAATCGGCAGTGGTGCTGTGTGCTGGACCTGGTCATTATTGGTAACAGGTTTTCCAGGACCTTTTATTTGAACAAACCAACCAAGTGACTTTTTCTACCCTCCAACTTTTGTAAAATCTGCATATATGAGATATATCAGGTCGGGGAAAACCACTAACTTGCGTGTAATGCGCAAACTCGCCTATTATAAGCCAATAGGGGTATGGATTTGTTCCTAAAAATAGCCAAAATCACTTTAATCTTAAATTTTTCACATTGTTTGTCCAAGTTGCAGTTATTCAGTCATGAAACATAATCCAAATGCAAAAATAAACTTTATTTGCATGTGGGAAAGTACCAAAAACAGATGCAATACTTCCGGTAAAGATACATCAAGTTTCTAAGTAGCCAACGCTAACATCTTTTAGCAAAATATTATTTACTTTGTCGTAAATTAATGCGATTTTTAATAATATCTTGCAAAGGTTATTGTTAAAGCGATTTGTTTTATTTTAGTAATTAACCCATACTCCGACTGGCGTATAATAGGCGAGTTTGCGTATATACGCAAGTTGGTGGTTTTCCCCAACCTGTATATAAAGAAGGCATTCATATTTCAACAAAAGCCAAAATCCTAACTGAGCATTTTGGCCTGCCGTCTGTTCTTAATCATATGAAAACCGTGTTATCCCATTAATGATAGTTCATTTTGTCATTCTGACATTTTATTATAAGATCATTGGAAATTTTTAGGGCCAAAAAACATATAAAGCTATACATTATCTATTTGGAGATACATGGAATAAACAATCTGAATATGTTATTTTAGCAAATAATGTTAACAAATTAAAAATTAACTCGACAACCACTGGAAAAACCAATAACTTTTTTTAAATTACAGAGCTGCAATCATGTAATTGTCAAATTATTTATATTATATGCATAATAATACATTGTATGTATTTTTTTAGTATGGTATAGAGGGCTTGTGTGTAAAGCACAAAGGCACTGTTGCCTATTGCAAATTAAATAAAAGGTTATGTGTATAAGCCCTGAACCGGAAATAAACTTATCTTATCTTATTTAATAATTGAAGACATCGTTTAATGATCAGTGCAACCATATTTCTAATTTTTCATAACCAACTTTATATAAATAACCTGACATTTCTTTTATTTCATCTCCAGCGAAACGTTATATGTAATTAATGCATTATTTTCTTCGTGCGAATTAATATCAATGCAAATACTGCAAATCATGCCAATATATTACAAAATTTCCTCGTTCCTAAGCACTATTGTAGACAGGATGTTATCAAAACGAAAAACAAATTATTTTGACGGATTTTGGGAATCGTTGTCATAGACAGCACAACAATTAGACATTCACAACACCAAAAATAATTTACCTTATATTCCGAACTATCCTATGACAACCCTTGAATATAACTATATAATCACTACAACCCGAAATAGCTGAGTCTATCTACTCCAAAATTCTCCAAAACAAATCTCTACAATATATTTATGGCTAACTAAATCCGGGCATTTTCCCAAAGGACATCGTGATCACAAGAATGTTTGACAGCTCTGTCTAAACTACAAATACACAAACGGACTTTTACCCGTAATGTGACTACTAGCCATGCTACAATGTCGTGATTCATTAATTAGCTTCATATTTTATTTAATATCATTTTTACATAGCAATTACCTTTGTGAGTTCAATTGTTGGCTAGCTTAATGAAAATCTTTAATCGACAAAACAGGATAGAAACAGGATAATAAAGGGGCATAACTCGAACACGCCTAGTACATTTCGATAAATTCGAATATGATTCTGAAAAGTAAAATGGAAATTGTTGATATCTTTCCTTTCCTAAATTGATTTATTGATTTGTTTTAATTTTCATTGTTTTTTTCCCCATATAATGACCATGCAGGTCCAAACAGTAAATGGATGAATATAAGAATAATTTATTTTTCATATATCAACTTAAGACAATTGCCCGTTCCTTAAAGGGATATAAAAACCAACTTCAGTAAAATAAAGATTCAGAAAAAAGCAAATGCATTAGAATCATAACATTGACAAAGGTGTTCAAATGTCACTAAACGTCAAAAATCATTCTCCATTGGGACGTATTGGGTTTCCTTGCCTTTTTAAAGATGGAAAATGCTAATAGTTATTCGCAATAATGAGTAATGGTTGGTATAAACTTTGTTTTATTCAAATTCTATTTGACAATACATCGCAGTATAGAACAAAAAAGGAAACAAAAACAAGTGTCGTGACCCTTATGTAAATTTGTTACCTGGGTAATGGTTACCGATTGAAAAGTGGTACAGGCATCTAGCTTTCATAGATGATCATGTGTTGTTGCTTTCACACACAAAGCAGAAAATACCAACTTTGAAAGTTGTCCAGCAGGGCTGATTTGGAATATCTGTATTGAACGACACTTTTTCATGCAAATTATTTTAGAAAGCAAATGCTTAAAATATACCGTAGATTAACTGTATTAAGATATACTTCCATATTTGTAAAACGGTGCTATGATTGGTTCACCATTTTAACATCCTATTTACAAGCACATTGACAATGTCTGAAGTTGTGTCAAGTTTCTCGAAAGTCCTGCTAGCTTATTAGTTAACTTACAAAGTCTCAAATTAAATTTTTCATATAAATTTTATATTGAAATAAAATAGTCTAATAAAAATAAAATTACATCTATGTCTGCATTCAAAATCAACGCATCATAAGAAACACAGATTTCTTTGTAACGTTGAAATATTTCTAAACAGATTTAATTCCAAAAAATTGACTTGACAAAATTGAGTTGAGCAGACATTCCACAACCGGGCCCCCGGTAACATTGTTATGTTTCCATGACTAGTGTTGTGGCCTGTTTAGTCGATTAAATCAAATGTATGATAGGCTATGTACATAATTTAAAGATTTATTGGGATTTGAGTGCGATATTTACAGAAACAGAGATGGACATATCAGTAGTGAAATAAACATTGATTAGTGTTACTACCGGTGTAACTGACACTGTGGATGATTAGTGTTACTACCGGTGTAAATGACACTGTGGATGATTAGTGTTACTACCGGTGTAAATGACACAGTGGAAGAAAAGCTACATGTTAGGAGGCACAGAAGTCTAGAGGTAGGACGCCGGGCTCGTGGCCGAAGGATTGTGGGTTCGAGTCACGGCACGGCACTGTGTTGTATCTTTGAGCAAGACACTTCGCTTGTTCCAGTCTACTCAGCTGTAAATGAGTACGCGGTTGGGTAGTGCTAGAATTGTAGAATGCTAGTTGTGAGCGCCGAAATGCCAGCACCGGCTTCATACTCCCCAGGGAGTTGAGAAAGATATTGGCTGGGTGCAAAGGCCCTATAACCACGGAAAATAATTTGTGAACCGCTTTGAGACGACCTACGAACTAGGTTGTGATAAAGCGGTATATAAAAACCTCGAATTATTATTATCCTCAACGCGGTCACAGGAACACAGGAATTAGTGACGTATTTTTGCTTGGACCTATCCTGAAGTGAAGTGAGTATTACTTTAGTGATTTAAATGAACATTCGGTAAAAATACAACCCCAATGTGTTGTCTAGTACCTAAGACAAATGCTCGGATCCATGTGTCAAGTATCACCGAATTAGATAGTATGTTCATAGACGTGTCAAAACACTTTCGCACTCACCTAAAACACACTCAAAACATACTCACTAACTCAAAACATACCCGCTAACTCAAAACATACCCACTCAATCAAGACATATTCACACGTCGCTCAAAATCCACACTCAAAGTACCCACACTCAAAGTACCCACACTCAAAGTACCCACACACTCAAAGTACCCACATTCAAAGAACCCACACTCAAAGAACCCACACTCAAAGTACCCACACTTAAAGTACCCACACTCAAAGTACCCACACTCAAAGTACCCACACTCAAAATACCCACACTCAAAGTACCCATACTCAAAGTACCCACACTCAAAGTACCCACACACTCAAAGTACCCACACTCAAAGTACCCACACTCAAAGTACCCACACTCAAAGTACCCACACTCAAAGTACCCACACTCAAAGTACCCACACTCAAAGTACCCACACTCAAAGTACCCACACTCAAAGTACCCACACTCAAAGTACCCACACTCAAAGTACCCACACTCAAAGTACCCACACTCAAAGTACCCACACTCAAAGTACCCACACTCAAAGTACCCACACTCAAAGTACCCACACTCAAAGTACCCACACTCAAAGTACCCACACTCAAAGTACCCACACTCAAAGTACCCACACTCAAAGTACCCACACTCAAAGTACCCACACTCAAAGTACCCACACTCAAAGTACCCACACTCAAAGTACCCACACTCAAAGTACCCACACTCAAAGTACCCACACTCAAAGTACCCACACTCAAAGTACCCACACTCAAAGTACCCACACTCAAAGTACCCACACTCAAAGTACCCACACTCAAAGTACCCACACTCAAAGTACCCACACTCAAAGTACCCACACTCAAAGTACCCACACTCAAAGTACCCACACTCAAAGTACCCACACTCAAAGTACCCACACTCAAAGTACCCACACTCAAAGTACCCACACTCAAAGTACCCACACTCAAAGTACCCACACTCAAAGTACCCACACTCAAAGTACCCACACTCAAAGTACCCACACTCAAAGTACCCACACTCAAAGTACCCACACTCAAAGTACCCACACTCAAAGTACCCACACTCAAAGTACCCACACTCAAAGTACCCACACTCAAAGTACCCACACTCAAAGTACCCACACTCAAAGTACCCACACTCAAAGTACCCACACTCAAAGTACCCACACTCAAAGTACCCACACTCAAAGTACCCACACTCAAAGTACCCACACTCAAAGTACCCACACTCAAAGTACCCACACTCAAAGTACCCACACTCAAAGTACCCACACTCAAAGTACCCACACTCAAAGTACCCACACTCAAAGTACCCACACTCAAAGTACCCACACTCAAAGTACCCACACTCAAAGTACCCACACTCAAAGTACCCACACTCAAAGTACCCACACTCAAAATACCCACACTCAAAGTACCCACACTCAAAATACCCACACTCAAAGTACCCACACTCAAAGTACCCACATTCAAAGAACCCACACTCAAAGTAACCACACTCAAAGTACCCACACTTAAAGTATCCACACTCAAAGTACCCACACTCAAAGAAACCACACTCAAAGTACCCACACTTAAAGTACCCACACTCAATGTACCCACACTCAAAGTATCCACACTCAAAGTACCCACACTCAAAGTACCCACACTGAAAGTACCCACACACTCAAAGTACCCACACTCAAAATACCCACACTCAAAGTACCCACACTCAAACTACCCACACTCAAAGTACCCACACTCAAGGTTCCCACACTCAAAGTACCCACACTCAAACTACCCACACTCAAAGTACCCACACTCAAGGTTCCCACACTCAAAGTACCCACACTCAAACTACCCACACTCAAAGTACCCACACTCACAATACCCACACTCAAAGTACCCACACTCACAGTACCCACACTCAAAGCACCCACACTCAAAGTACCCACACTCAATGTACCCACACTCAAAGTACCCACACTCGAAGTACCCACACTCAAAGAAACCACACCCAAAGTCCCCCCACTTAAAGTCCCCACACTCAATGCACCCACACTCAAAGTATCCACACTCAAAGCACCCACACTCAAAGTACCCACACTGAAAGTACCCACACACTCAAAGTACCCACACTCAAAATATCCACACTCAAAGTACCCACACTCAAAGCACCCACACTCAAAGTACCCACACTGAAAGTACCCACACCCTCAAAGTACCCACACTCAAAATACCCCCACTCAAAGTACCCACACTCAAAGTACCCCCACTCAAAGTACTCACACACTCTAAGTACCCACACTCAAAGTACCCACACTCAAGGTTCCCACACTCAAAGTACCCACACTCAAAATACCCCCACTCAAAGTACCCACACTCAAAGTACCCGCACTCAAAGTACCCACACTCAAAGTACACACACTCAAAGTACCCACACTCAAAATATCCACACTCAAAGTACCCACACTCAAAGAACCCACACTCAAAATACCCACACTCAAAATACCCACACTCAAAATACCCACACTCAAACTACCCACACTCAAAGTACCCACACTCACAGTACCCACACTCAAAGCACCCACACTCAAAGTACCCACACTCAATGTACCCACACTAAAGTATCCACACTCAAAGTACCCACACTCAAAATATCCACACTCAAAGTACCCACACTCAAAATATCCACACTCAAAGTACCCACACTCAAAGTACACACACTCAAAATACCCACACTCAAAGTCCCCACACTCAAAGAACCCACACTCACAGTACCCACACTCAAAGCACCCACACTCAAAATACCCACACGCAAAGTTCCCACACTCAAAATACCCACACTCAAAGTCCCCACACTC